AACCCATCCTAAAATACTCTGTGTTTACTGAACCCAGAAATTTTCAAACACGCGAGTTGACGCGAGGTTCCAATGGATCGTTTAAGTAGGTTATCAAATTTTCTTTCATTTGCTGCTGTGCGCGTTTTTAAATGAAAGAAAATTTTAACACTAATTTTTTTGGCAGTCGGCTGGCGGAAATTTTTCATTTCAAATTGTAAAATTACTCAACGCAGAGGAGTACTTTTGATGGAAGTAACCAGAAAAAAACAATATATGTGACAAAACACAAAAATAAAATAATAACAGAACAGACACGATTCTAAATTTGGTCTCAAAACGGATAGGTTTTTTTTTATTAACTCTCTAGACGAGACAAAGGAAGCGCGTTCTTTCATATAAGTGGGTGGGTAGTTCATTTTTTTTTTCAAAATAATAATATATGTTAGTCGTTTGGGCAGATGATTGAGTGATGAATACGAGCATTTGTACTCCAGTCACGGATGTTTAATATATATTTCCATATAAACATACTTATATATGTATCAGTATATGTATTCTTTCTGTTACCGTAGGATTCCATAACACAAGCCTTACAATGCTTGCTTTGGGGCTAGGCTAATTGGTGTGAGTGTTGGAAATATTAATTTATTATTTATTTATTTTATGTAGAATCAAGAATCATTATCATCGTCAGCCTTTAAATCTCTGCGCTTTTTTTATATTATAAGGGGCATTCGAGCTGACGGCTCACCTGATGATAAATGATCACCTTCGCCTATAGACACCTACTTCACCAGGAGTATCACAAATGCGATGCCGGCCTTTAGGGTGGGTACTCCTTGTACGCTCTTATTTACGGTTTTCGGACTGCTGGAGCACAGGCTTTGTATATGGGTGGCATAGTGAGGATGGGCCATGACCCACTATGCGGGTTCAATGCTGCCGGAACCAACGGCTCAAGATACTATCTTTTTAGTTATACATCCAATGTTTAACTTCAACGCTCACAGACCGAAAGCGCCAGACATCTGAGCCATCGAGCTCAAATAACTCATCGGCATATCATTCACCTTATTCAACTATATTATACGACGACCTCCGTGGCCGAGTGGTTTGTACGCCGGGTTTCATGGCGTCGCCGAAGACCGCAGAGGGTCATCGCGGCCCGGGCCGTGCGGGCTTACCGCACGGTCAGCCACGGGGCTGCCTGCGTCCTAGCAGGCACGCTCCCGTGGGAGGTTGATGCCCTGGTACTGTCCCAGGTGCATCAACACCGGGTCGCGGCAAGAGAGCGGGGCGAGCGACCCGTTCTAGAGGAGACTGAACGGGTCCGCACCGAGGCGCAGAGGGAGGCTCTGCGCCGATGGGTGGAGGCACTCGCCAACCCAGCCGCTGGCCACCGGACGATCGAGGCGATTCGTCCGGTGTTGGAGGAGTGGGTAGGGCGCCAGCGGGGCACCCTCACCCACCGCCTGGTGCAGGTACTGACCGGACATGGATGCTTCGGTCACTACCTGCACCGAGTCGCCCGTCGGGAGGAGACGCCGCGGTGTCATCACTGCGCCTCTCCAGACGACACGGCCGAGCACACGTTGATCGTGTGCCCGGCCTGGCGAAATGAGCGCCGCGATCAGATCGCGGCGCTCGGCGGAGGAGGCCTCACGCTGCCAAGTATGGTAAGAGCCATGCTTGTTAGCGAGAGAGCCTGGAGGGCGGCCGCCTCCTTCTGCGAATCTGTGATGGCGCAGAAGGAGGCAGCGGAGAGGGAGCGGGAGGAGGACGCTCTAGCCCCCCCTCTCCGGCGTAGACGGGTGGGCCGAAGGAGGCAGGCAGCGGTGACTGCCGGTCTTCGACGGCCCTAAGGTGGTCTGGGCGCGGCCTGACCAGCCGCGCGTCCTAGGTGCCGCTCCGGCATAGGCCACCACGTCTGGGGACTGCCTAGTACCCTAGCGCAGTCCCCCTGAGGCGCGTCGCCCGGTCCACTCGTTGGGCCGGGCCGGCCCGGCGACGTCCCAGTGAAGTGGCGCACGCTAAGGTGCGTCGATCCTGAGACGCCCCCATATGGGCGTAGGAGGGTACCGGGGGGTTTTAGTGGAGTAGGATCAGTGTGGCCTTCCGCACTGGTCCTGCTTGAGTAGGGTCGGCACTGTTTCCCGTGCCGGCGAGTCCCACACACGCCGTGCGCCTAGTCAGCGTCACGGTATGGTGCGTAACTGCATTTCCCCTCGTCACAAAAAAAAAAAAAAAAAAAAGGCTAGTGTTGGAAATATTTATTTATTATTATTTGAAATATTTATTTATTATTATTTATTATTATATTCAATAGCACCTTATTTAAAAAGATACTGAAAATAATATCGTACATTCCCGTCCACCACACTCAACATTAACACTAGTGTTACGGTGGCGAATTTTTTTTCTATGACCATTATACTAGCATAATATTAGTGTTACGGGTGGGTACATTTCCTAGGTACTGTAACGTCCGTGACGTTACAGCCTCCTTGTTTAGGTAAACTCTTTGCTTTTGCAATGCCTACGTTTGGCAGTTATATTAAAAAGTTAATTATTTTATTTTAAGATTTGAAATAAGGAATCGTCTGTCTTTTGATAGAAGGTTCCATTCAAGAGTAGATCTTCAGGCACCAAGCAAACTTATCGTAGTTAGATAAAAATAATTATACTCGCCTGAAATCTAATATAAAATAATAACCATCGTCAAGTTGTTTTAATGAATAGCCACGTCCCCAGGTTCTATCCATTCTGGCTAGAGCTCCATAGTACCATGAAAATTTAAGTAGGTATGTAGGTACCTATGAAGGTATTAAGTATGAACTTAAGCACTTATTTATTATACATATATTATATAACACACACTAGATTAAAATAAAAGACATCATTAACACAATACCAACATTATTTTCCTTTTTTTTGGTGTTGACATCATCAACACCAACCGTTTTAGATCGAAAAAAAATGGTTTATTTCGGTTTTAAACGGTTTTTTTCGTTTTAAACGGATTGATTTAATTGGTTTTAAACCGGCCTTACATTTATAGTCACACCAGTGTTAATGTCGGGAATGCATTGAAATAAGTAGGTATCGCCTTTGGAGTTTTGTAGCCCTGGTAGATCCGTTTCATTCATAACGAAGGTAGGGATACTCTTACTTGCTAAGCATTTTTTTCTGTTTTTCTTGTCTTCGTGTATTTTTCAAGCTTTAATTTAACTTACACTGTTTAGTTTTTGGCGGAGTAAAAAATTTTATGCAGAGTCCAAATTAAAATCAATCGAGGACTGAAATTATATTTTATTATTAAGATGCGGTTACATTACATTTTTACATTTTATTACTATACTAGTGGCCCGCCCTCGCTTCGCTTCGGTGTAGAGCTGTAGTGTAAACTATAGTTTTTGTTCTCAGGCTTGTGCTATAAACAATGACTTTATTTATATAATTACACGTGTTATTGTGAGTCAACCATATAAGATAGACATATGCTGTTGCGGGATATTTTTTAGACAATTTTATGTAGAATATTTCTGTCATACATGATTTCTATGTAACTTTAACCATTAAGGCTGCACACGCGACGGAAGCTTAAAAAATGGAGTAACTTCTCCCGTTTTCCCAACATTTCCCTTCACTACTCTGCTGCTATTGATTGTAACGTGATGAAAAGTATACTATAACCTGCCCAGGAGTATGAAGAATAATTGTACCAAGTTTCGTTAAAATCCGTCGAGTAGTTTTTGTTTCTATAAGGAACATACACACAGACAGACAGACAGACAGACAGACAAAAATTTACTGATTGCATTTTTGGCATCAGTATCGATCACTAATCACCCCCTGATAGTTATTTTGAAAATATATTTCATGTACAGAATTGACCTTTCTACAGATTTATTATAAGTATAGATTAGTACATTTCATTATTACAGTGCGCTTCACAAGTTACTCTCTTACTGAGAGGGCTTTCTCACGGTCTTGACGGCCGTAGGAAGATCATATATCGTGCATCTACATAGTATAAACCATGTACATTACATATGTAGTTACAAGTTCGTATGGGAGTATGCATGTGAGTACATGATGTAGTCCCAACGGTAACACTGGAATGGAAATCGAGGCTTACCCACCTTCACTCTGAACTTTGAAAATGTGACGATGTGAAGGTCGAGGAAAAAGAACCCCACCATAACACGTTCTACTCGGGCGATTGCACTTATGCTACTGCGGCCATGATGGCCGTGTCGGATTCTTTCCAGCCTTTCTTAAGCTGCAAGGCAGCGCCACCTCTTCGCATTGTAGGTAACCCACAATGTCAAATGAATATCTTTACAAGTATTAAATATTTGAAAGAAATAGCAATTATAATCTCTTCTCATTGACTCGCCGGATTCACTGTCAAAAATAGGTATAAAAATCCCTAACAAAACCGTAAGGCAATTTGTACATTTAGATGTTGCCCAATGTGGTACTAATTACAGACAAAACTCTTTTTTCGTAAGGTCTGCAAAAGAAATTAACAAACTAGTAACTTCTTTCCCCCAACTTGACTTATTTATAACTAAACCGCAAATACTTAAAAATACCTTAGTCAGTTCTTGGTTGGCTGATTCTCAAACTGGCTTTAAGCGTCGCTTGTTGCTATATTTCAATTATCTCTAGTCTTATAACTTTCCTATATTTTTCACTTTGGCACTGCTTGTATGGTTTCAACGACGAGCTTTCTATTGTAAGTCATATGCGAAAACGTGTTAATGGTGTCTAGTTTTACATTTATTTATAATTGCTGTTAAAAAAACACAGCACGTTTTCCGAATAAAAAAAAATAAAAATAAAATAATAATAGGGTTCGAGTCCCGTCTGCTGCCTGGTCCGCGTGGATTTTTTCTAGTAATATTTTCTTTTGATTTAAACATCGAGCAGTTACATGCTAAAAAATTAAAATTATTACCGGTGTTAATGTTTGGTGTGACGATGAGGAATGCATTAATAATATTGATAGTTACCTCGTCGTTGTGAGTCCAACGTATGGTGGGGGGTGGTTCAGGAGAGTGCTGCACTACGCAGGTGAGGTTGATTGTGCTGCCCGTGTTGATGAACAGCTCCGGCCCGCCCAGGATCGTGGTCAGCGGCTCTGCTTGACGGGGAAACAGTCATAGTTAGAGAACAATGTGAAAAAGGACTAGAAACTTGATAATTATGATTTTTTTTTAAGCATTTAACTTCTAGATGTTTAAATCTAAAGAAAAGTTTACTAGAAAAAAAAAATCCACGCGGACCAGGCAGCAGACATTGTGGGTTACCTACAATGCGAAGAGATGGCACTGCCTTGCAGCTTAAGGCTAGGAAAATTTCGACGCGGCTAATAGGGCCGTGGTAGCGTGGTAGGTAGTATATAATGGTCAGTGCATTCGCCCGGATAGCGAAGGATGCGGGTTCGAGTCCCGTCCGCTGCCTGGTCCTCGTGGATTTTTTTTTCTAGTAAACTTTTCTTTAGATTTAAACTTGATAATTATTTTTCATTTCACATTCTCGCGAAGTGGTGTTGTTTTGATCTGTTTGTTGGGTGGAAAATGCTGCTCATACAAATTAATTCTTCGAACTTTAAAAATGGAACTACTGTCAGGTGTGAGGAGTTAATTTAAAAAAAAATGCTGCGGCGATGTAAGTTTCTAAACAGCCAGTGTAAACTTAGCACAAACTTCTTAGAGCAGAATAAGCTGCACAATTACACTGTTCCATATTTAAATTAAAAAAGTCGACATACATTGGCTGGATACTAAACTGTTATGTATCTGTGACGGAATAAAAAAAAAACTTTTTATTCCGTCACAGATACATAACGTTATTCATAATGTTATTCATGAAAAATGTAGAAGATTTAGTAAGATTGGTAATACACGTTGATGAAATGGAGAAACTCGCAATGCGGGTCGTGCCATTTGATTACGCTAGGGCTTTCAGATTAGAGCCCGATGCATACAGATGGAGTTTTCAAATAGCTCAAAGGATTACGGGAGTTAGTAAAGAGCAGCTGTATGCAAAATAGTAGGAATCAAAGATACACAAAATTTACTGACAACTCTCTATTTACCTAGTACTAGAATATATATTTCAATACGATAGCTTGCACATTTCTAGGTATATACTTGTATTTTGAGAGCTTGCATTTCAGAATTTTACTTGATATTTATAGATGCAAGTGGACATCGAAATGCCTTGACAGATTTAAAAGGTTGTTATCCCGAATGATAATATAGCTTACCTCTAGACCTCATGGGAAGACATTTTATGATCTTAGCATAATATTTTTTTTAGATATACACAGATATTTTCCTGCTAGTTGTTACGAAATTGTTACCTATGGACAAGAATGAAATTACGACGTTCTATTCGAGAATCAGCCAGTCAAAAAGTTGCTTAGGTAACGAAACGAACATGCAAAACGAGTAACCGCTTATTTTCACGAATAATGGCAAATGGCCAAGCAATCTCGCTACATTAAAGTTCCGTTTAACTCGTTATTTTTAGAGCAGACACACTTTCTATATGCCTTTTAAAATTTAGTATATTGCATTACGTTTATATTGCCTGCATAAAAGAGTTAGAAAATAAAATTTTTCGTTTTTCTATTGCCTCAAAAACAGTGCAGATTCTCTATGACGTTGCCATGAAGAAAAATATTGTACCCTACTACTAGCGGAGCACAAATGTTATTTATGTACAAATTTACATAAGGAGCAAGACTATGCTATCATTATTTATTGGCACGTAAGAGATACTTTATAAATGACACTTCCTTCTACATACAATTACGCCTCCCTCATAGGCGCGCTATTATCGGTAGATAAAATCGGATGTCTAATTGCGGCTTCTGTTTTTAGTACATTATTGATTAGAATGGAGGAGGAAAAGGAGAAGCTCGATGGCGCAAGTGGTTAGCGCGTTCGGCTGCGATCGTTGAAGTTAAGCAATTTTCGCAGTGGTCGGTTACTGCATGGGTAACCAAAAATTTACTATCTCGGGTTCCTCCGTGCTTCGGAAGGCACGAAGCCGTTGGTTCCGGCTGCATCTGCAGTCGTTAGCCCCTCCTAATCCGCACTGGGCCCGCGTGGTGGGTCATGGCCCAATCTCCCTATCTCATCTATAAGGAAGGCCTGTGCTCCAGCAGTGGGGACATTAATAGGCTGGTGATGATGGATGAGAATGGCTACAAAGTTTCACACTGCTGCGATAATATTGACGCAATAGAAATATGACTAAAAATCGCAATAACACTTCCGATATTATCGACCGATCAAATTAAGCCTACGGGAGGCTTTAAGCCGCTGTCGACGTTCATCCAGTAGTTAACATTATAGGTCTCAAAAAAATGTAAGGAATCATGATTTTTGCGAGTTTCCGATATTTCGGCATTGTTGCAAGCGCCATGATCACGGAGCAATTCACGAAGTAAATAACATAAATTACTGTAATGTTAGTGACCATGAAAGTTTAAAACAAATGTAAAAAAGCTTCTATGCATTTACAATCGTAGTTTCCATGACTTTATCATTGGATGTAACTATATCCATTCTTGAAAACCATAAGGTAGCTACATTGTTAGCATGGATTTGTCAAAATCGGAGTTCTGTCGCTCCACAAACCTTATCTCTAAATCAACTTTCATAAACGTTACTTCTACCAGTAAATTATTTTATGTAGGTACATACGTCTTAGTGTCGCCGCACACGGGCCACATGCCACAGCCACAAACGTCGCCACGAGAAGCTAGAAGCGGCTATTAAAGTGGCCGAAGCGCGCGACAGCGGCCGACTAAGGTAAGAGAGAGAGGGGTGGGGAATCGCGCGAGTGACGTGTGGCGGCGTTTTGTATCGGCGCATTAAGGGCCACAAGAAGCGAGCAATGACGATTTGTAGCGTGTGGCGGCCACCGGCTTACCGTGTGTGTCGAGTCCATATAAAATGTATGAAAACTACAGGAAATATGCCGGTGGCGGCGTTTTGAGGTTGTGGTCGGTGGCCCGTGTGCGGCGACACTTAGAGTGCTTGTAGAATATAAAGGGTGCGGCATCTCGAGTCTGGCATATTGTTCGGAATCAATTGTGATAGTTTGCTACCCTATTGCCTACAATAGTTAGTTGACGACCTCCGTGGCTGAATGGTTTATACGCCGGGTTTCATGGTGTCGCTGACTCGAGAGGTCCCGGGCTAGAATCTCGGTGGAAGCAGATGTTTGTGCGATGAATACGAGCATTTGTTATCCAGTCTGCGATGTTTAATATGTATTTCTATATAAATATACTTATATATGTACAATATATGTATTCTATCCGTTACCCTAGTATTCCATAACACAAGGCTTACAGTGCTTACTTTGGGGCTAGCCTGATTGGTGTGAGTGTTGGAAATATTTATTACTATAGTTGTCGAAGTTGCCCTATTCGTTGATAGACATTTTTGTCTTCGCAAAAGTCTGCTATGCTTGCCTTTCGCCCTCAGATTTTGAACGGTAAATAAATGAGTTCTTTGGCTCCCTTATCGCGTTTCACACTGGTCTTTACGTTGAACGTTGAGTTATCATAGAATGTAACAAGAGTGATTTACCGACAACCGATAGGTACATCCGGTGGCCTATTGGCGGCGTGGTGCCGACTTGGCACTCGTACACGCCAGAGTCCCGCCGCTGCGGGAACCTTATCTGTGGACAAGTTAAGACATGATTTATGGAAGCATTTAGATGACTCGGAAATCTTCTGGATGTGGTTCCTAAAAAAAGAAAATTTTCACGAATTCACAATAAATTAAGGACTTATGTTCATGATGTCTCACCAAAATAATTTTGGGGAAGAAATATAAGAAACTTTTAATTTGGACTTTAAAATAGTTGTGTTTTCCTTATGCTGTTAGTAACATTTAAAAACTCTGTTAAAGGCTGGTGTGATTATGTTATTATGTCTATAGAAAAAACCTTAGCCCTAACAGTGAAAATATTAGAAACCCGACGTTAAGTATTGTCACAAACGCTCTCGAAACGTAACCGCGAAAGTCCTAGAAATCGAATTTGCCAGAGCACCGCGGGTCGCGATAGAGGTCGAGTAATGCGACTGCGGCGTAAGGGAGAAAGTGCAACGACATCTGCACTTGTTTAGAAGTTATGCGTGTTACCTGCGTAAGTATAAGTAGGTATTTCGTACTCGCGGGTGCTAGGTAATTCTCAATTTAACAGGTACTTTCTAGAATGCGTCGATCGGCGTATATAAGCGCGATTGCCGCCGCGCAGAGTTAGTTGAGTTTCAACAGCGATTTCGGAGCGAATCCAAAGGCGATCAAAGTGCAACAAAAGTATTCTAATGCGATAGTTTAGTGACTTCTATAGTGAAATACAGTGTTTAGTGAGTGTTTTGTAATTAACATTGTGTGTTAATTGTGTGAATTGTGTGGTGAATAAATAACTGTCAAGCTTGCACTGGCATATAATTTCGAACCCCTACCGGACACGTAACAGTATCATCAATTAAGAAGCAGAACTAAGAACTCGTAGATAGTAGCAACATCTGACTTACTTTCAATATCCAATCCTCAGTATGAGGATTGTGGACGCTTATGAACCTCTGGTCCGAAGTATACGTCATCCTGCCAGACGTGAGCAGGTGTATGTCCCGATGCCGGATCCATGAGACCTGAGCAAGAAACAAATTCGAGTTTATATTTGGGTACCAGAATACCAGTTCTGATAAAGCGAGAAAGTATTCTTTCACTATGTCAGCATAAGCTAGGGTTGGGTTCTGATTGGCCGGCCGAGTTTTTTAATATTTGTTGTTCTAAGGTCAAGTTTTCTTGTATTTTTAATATTGTTATTATTCATAAGTTTTTTGCTTAAGATCACCAATAAAGATTTTCATTTCATCACATTTTATTTCATATTGAACACATTATTATTTTGCACGTCTACCAGGTAGGACTTTTGATTCTCTCGGTGTATTTTGAGTTTCCCAAAAGGTCGAAATAGTATCAATCGGGAACTGCGAAGCCCCGATATCTCAAATAATTAAACCGCAAGTTGTAATGTATGAAAATATTATCTCTTATCTATTAGACAAGTCCGTCCGTCTGTGGTGCTGTTTCAGCGGCCAAACCGTAAGAGATAGATAAAGAGAATATTTAAGTTATAAGTTAAGAATAGTCTGATAAGACTACAAACCGGATTTGAGTAACGTAGCACTTCCGGTTTTCGAGAAATCACGAATTTCAAATGAAACCACACAAAATCTCCGAAGTTCTCAATTAATTAAATACATTTTTTTTTAAATCAAGTTTTGGTGAACATTTGGTTCACTGGTTTGCTAGTTCGGTTTTATTTTCGTACTGCTATCTTATGGCATACCCGCACAAACAGGCATTCTCAGTGCATACAAGCTCGTTTCTGACAGGATATGTGACTTCGTACAAGCACAGTCTTTACTTCAAGGGTAATTGTATTGTAAGCGTCTATGTTGGCCGCTTATCATTTGCTCGTTAACTACCTTTTTTGCACAAAAATGTCTGCAATAACTTTTATTTGTTTCTTAGATTTTCACGCAAATCACTCATTAAACAAAAGAAGTTTCAACGGGTTAGATAGATTTACTGATTTTATTTGTTTATTGACATTTAACAGCGTTTGCAGGAATGCGTCGTCAGTTTTTTTTTAATCATTATTCTGATGACTCACCTGCAAAGGCTGCGAAAACACCACAATAAATAAATAAAATCAGTTCATCTAACCCGTTGAAACTTGTTTTATTTAAAATGATCTATATTACACGCACAATGTATTTAAGGTACTTAATTGGATAAGGATTAATGCTGTATTGCTTAAAATCGCTTGTTCGTAAACAAGCCATTATTTTCTCGTAATAAGTAATTAAAAAATGGTTATTGTGCGTTATACCAAAGAGATAGGCATATACCATCGCGGACTTTTTTGTAGACCTTTTTAAGGTGTACAATACTGTAGTACATTATTTTGATCTATCTCCTTGGGTTCAGCCAGCGTTTGCAATGTAAGCGCAAAAAATGTGTTTATTTACGACCTTACATTAAAAACCTCTAAAATTATCAGTGTTTCTCTACTATATTATGCATGTATTATAAATATAAACCTTCCTCTTGATTCACTCTATCTATTCAAAGAAACCGCATCAAAATCCGTTGTGTAGTTTCAAAGATCTAAGCATACAAAGGGACATAGGGACAGAGAAAGCGACTTTGTTTTATACTATGTAGTGATGACTTTACTTATCACTAAAACAGTAGCCAGTTAATTATCTATGTGTGTGAACAACGCTGATTACGCTAAACCACACGTGAATATTAATTGAACGCAGGTAGGTATCTATGAATCATTTAATGTTAATTATTATAACCATTTAGATAATGCGCCGAATGAGCAAACTTACCATCAATATTTTAGTTCAATTAGAACGCTTAATTGACATTTCTACCAATTAAAATGTTATAAGGTCATATATTAGTTGCTCAGGCGTCATAATTAAACTCGTTAATAAATTAGACATTTACTGTCAGAACATATGTGATCTGAGAAATAAACTTTTAAAAGTTTACAACGAGATCCTTTGCAGTGACTGTGATATTATACTTTTTACAGAAACCTGGCTTCAAAAGGATATTTTAAGCTCAAAAATATATGATTCTAGATATAATAACTTTCGCGTAATGTGGAGCAAACGAAGAAAAAGACGGGGGGTGACCTCATGGCTTGTATAAAAAGTTCGCTTAGCGCTCAACAAAACGCATTTTTTTTTCGAAATATAATAATAGCAAATTATCTCTGGCTGAAGACTCTAGACCACTCGGTCGTCTCAACTAGAGGGCGTCTCTGAAACTCGGATTTCGGCTCTAGTTAGCCGTTGGATATCCTAAAGGGACCTCGAGCCGAGAATGGGCGAGTGCCTCTAAAGGTATTCCAGGTGGATGGCATGAATGGGTCGGTGTCCTCCGGCTGAAGCCTCTACCACCACTCCACTTTCGGTCGGCTTAACTATAGGGCGTCTCTGAGACTCAGACCTCGGCTCTAGTTAGCCGTTGAAGTGGGGGGAAATCTCTCTCTAGTCGTAAGGGGCGGAGAAAAAACGTCTAGCCACATAGGCAACGGCGCGGCAACGAGTGATATTTTTGTATCGCAAGCGTCTAGAGGCAACGCGTGATATTATTGTATCGCAAGCGTCTAGAGGCAACGAGTGATATTTTTGTATCGCAAGCGTCTAGAGGCAACGAGTGATATATTGTATCGCAAGCGTCTAGAGGCAAAGAGTGATATTATTGTATCGCAAGCGTCTAGAGGCAACTAGTGATATTATTGTATCGCAAGCGTCTAGAGGCAACGAGTGATATTATTGTATCGCAAGCGTCTAGAGGCAACGAATGATATTATTGTATCGCAAGCGTCTAGAGGCAACGAGTGATATTATTGTTTCGCCAGCGTCTAGAGGCAACGAGTGATATTCTTGTATCGCAAGCGTCTAGAGGCAACGAGTGATATTTTTGTATCGCAAGCGTCTAGAGGCAACGAGTGATATTCTTGTATCGCAAGCGTCTAGAGGCAACGAGTGATATTTTTGTATCGCAAGCGTCTAGAGGCAACGAGTGATATTTTTGTATCGCAAGCGTCTAGAGGCAACGAGTGATATTTTTGTATCGCAAGCGTCTAGAGGCAACGAGTGATATTTTTGTATCGCAAGCTTCTAGAGGCAACGAGTGATATTATTGTATCGCAAGCGTCTAAAGGCAACGAGGGATATTATTGTATCGCAAGCGCCTAGAGGCAACGAGTGATATTATTGTATCGCAAGCGCCTAGAGGCTATGGTGGCCGCTTACTCTCAGTAGAGCCATATGCTTGTTTGCCACAGTTTTAACATAAAAAAAGTCATAATTATACCGTGTTAAATAATGCGTGTGTCAAAAATGTCCCGTAACAGCGCAACTTTGCGAAGCTGAGAACGGGCAACACTTACGCGACGTAATTTTTCAAGTTTAAATTAACCAAATGCTTAATTAATTAAGTGAAACAATATTAATAAAAATAAATTAATTGATTCAAAAATAAGGAAATTATATGATATTCAAACCTTTTCTTTCTATTGTGTTACTGTGTACAAACTGGTTTCGGATATCAATAGTAAACTATGTGGGATGAAATCGACAGTTGGTACTCCATTTTTTATGCTCTATTTATGCCGAAGTGGTGGTTTGTAGATAGGGGTCAAACCACAGTTATTTTAGTTACAACGCTAGGGCTGTCTCTTGAATTAAAAAAAAAAGTTTTTGTCATATTTGACCTGTGTTCGGTCTCAGAGATGTTAACTAATTTTTTGTTTATAGCTTTAAACTTTCATGGTCATTAACATTATAGTAATAAATCAATTAAATGAACGTTTTTCTTGCGTTCGATACCCGTGTGGAACAGTCATGTGGACGGGTTTAAATTGTCGAGTGTCTGAAATCCCGTGGTTCGTATGTGTATAAACTAGAATAAAAAAAAATGTGTCGTGTCAAAATCCCATACTGTGAGTGTTGTGTGTCAAGAACAGCTTCGACTTATAGTGAGAATGTGAACAGTACCACGGGTATCGAACACAATAGAAGACTTCGTTGAAGGGTAGACTGATATGTTTGCCAATAACAGCCTACCCGCTATACTTAAGTTACCATAGATCATGGCGCTTGCAACAATGCCGAAATATCGGAAACTCACTAAATATAAGGTACTTGGTAATAATCTCGTAAATAAATAAGTGAATAATTCGCCGTTCGCGTTTATCTTTTTCCCAAAGGTTGACTGGGAGAGAATGCTATTAGCATTAAGTCCGCCTTTTGTACCATTCTATTGTATTTCGTTCAATAAAGTTTAAAATAAATAAATAACAACAATATTTTTCTGTTTGATTAAATTTGCGGACATTTTGCGACAGTATGTAAGTCAGCATTATGTTAAAGTTATAGTCAAAATATCTTTATTCAAATTTTACAGGTTGCATTCGCATGGTACAACTCTTTTGAATCGTCCAAATTGAAACCACAAAATATAATAATCCTGTGACACTTGACGCACAACCCTATTACAGGTCCATCGAAATATTAAGCGCTCTCGAACAATTTACATTCGGCCGGATTAGGGCGTGTTCAAAATAAATTTATCCCCCCATAATTCCCTTATTCAATGTGATTCTGTTTGAACGGCCTTTATTTTCATTGAAAATCCGAAAATATGTCTTTCGATAATGGAACTAGGGATCAAAATGTCCTGCCTGGACTGGCCATTGTTTTCATAAACATTTATTTTGAGATAATCTTTTTTTCTGCCGATACTGGGCTTATGTACTTTAGACCTAAAGAAGGGTTGAGTAGGTTTTCCATAAAATCTTTCATACGATCCTTTTCGTGACAAAGATGAACAACTACAAAAAAGTGATCAAATAAATTTTTGTGTGGTACAACTGGATAATAAATTTCATTAATTTATTATCCACTTGTACCACACAAAAATTAAGTTTAAACATTTAAATTAATCATAATCGCAATCAAAATGCAGGTAAACAATTAATGTATATTTAATCATTATATAATGAAAGGCGACTTCATGAATCATCGCTGAAGTCATTTTTCAATTTGACGACTCT